CACAAGAACAAATAAAGTAAAAAAACGCGTGTCGATCAAATGTGTCGTTTAAAAAATTTAAATTATTTTTCGACGTAATAGAAGCCCCTGGGCTTCTAATACACCTTCCACATCCATTGCTCCAGAGAGGGCTTCTAATACGGGAGGGCTTCTAATATGGGGGAGGCTTCTATTATGGGGGGGGGGGTTTAACAACATCTCTTTTTTCTTTAGGTGAATCAAATTCCTGAAACAAGCACTGGTATTGTTTATTGGATGAGTCGTGATCAACGTGTTCAAGATAATTGGGCAATGTTATACGCACAACGTCTAGCTCTCAAACAACAATTCGCTTTACATGTCTGTTTTTGTTTGGTACCAACATTTTTACAAGCAACTATTCGAGCATATCGATTTATGTTAAAAGGTCTACAAGAATGTGAACAAGAATGTAAAATATTAAATATTCAATTTCATCTTCTTATGGGTCAAGCAGAAAATGTACTTCCACAATTTGTTGAAAAAAATAATATTGGAACAGTTGTCTGCGATTTTGCACCGTTAAGAGTGCCAAGATCATGGGTAGAAAATGTAGCAAAAAAAATTACAACTATACCAGTCGTGCAAGTAAAAAAAATCATAACAGTTTTAAACCATTGATAGACTGTCGAGACTTTTGTTCTTTTAAGGTTGATGCTCATAATGTTGTTCCATGCTGGAAAGCATCACCAAAACTAGAATATGCCGCACGTACAATTCGAAATAAACTTCATCAACAAATGGATGAATATTTTACAGAATTTCCACCACTTATCAAACATCCACATTCTACTAAACATCCAGCCGAAATTATTGATTGGCAAAAAGCCGATGATTGTTTACAAGTTGATCGAGTAGTTGATGAAGTTGATTGGGCTAAACCAGGTATGTTTTTTCATTTTCTTCGATCACCTTATTGAGGCTTATGTTCTTTTTTTTAAGGCTATCAAGGCGGAATTGAACAATTAGAATCATTTATTAATACTCGTATTTTACATTTTGCTTTGGGTCGTAATGATCCGAATAAAGGAGCTATTTCAATGTTATCACCTTGGCTTCATTATGGTCAAATAAGTCCTCAACGTGCTCTTCTCATCATATCAAAACTACGTTCAAAATATAAAGACTCATGTGATTCATTTATAGAAGAAACATTTGTTCGACGCGAATTATCTGATAATTATTGTTATTATCAAGAAAATTATGATAATCTCAATGGTGCATGGGATTGGGCAAAAAAAACATTGAATGATCATCGAAATGATAAACGAACACATTTGTTTACACGTGATCAATTTGAATATGCGCAAACGTATGATGATTTATGGAATGCATCTCAAGTACAAATGGTCAAAGAAGGAAAATTACACGGTTTTCTAAGAATGTATTGGTGTAAGAAAATTTTAGAATGGACAAAAACTCCAGAAGAAGCAATTGAAATAGCTATTTACTTAAATGATAAATATAATCTCGATGGAAGGTCAGTAATCGGTACAAAATTATCAGACTACAAAATAGATGGGCAAGACATTATTTCCATCTGTCAGAGAATTCAGTATAGATGAAACTGCAGCAATGCATTTCGTAACTAGCAATCCAAAAGTCACTTAATATATATTGTAAATCATTGTTGACAATTATTCTATATCTATCAATTTTAGAGATCCTAATGGTTATGTTGGTATCATGTGGTCATTATGTGGGGTAAGAAAAATTTTTTATCATTCAAAACCAATCATTTTTTTTTTAATTCTAATTTGTATTATCAGATTCATGATCAAGGATGGCGTGAACGACCAATATTTGGAAAAATTCGTTATATGAATTATGAAGGATGTAAAAGAAAGTTTGATATAAAAACATTTTGTGAAAAATATAAAAGTCTATAGACGTTAAAAGACGTAACTTATGACTGTATAACAATTCATAATAATAATCTAGCCGATGTTTATCTTGTTTTTTCTTCTCATGTCTGATATGAATATAGTTTTATTTTCTCTTAAAAATGAACATTATTTTTTCAAACTATTTTTATGTATTGTCTTTTCTCTTTTTGATTACTATGTATTACTTTTTATTGAAAAAAAATAATCGATATAATCTATCGTATTTCTCTATTTTGTTTTTTCTTAAGAGCATTCATAAACAAACTGAAAAGCCACATCTAATTTTTTATATTATATATGGAGATTGAGTGATTGAATAGTCTTTCTAAGAAAATTTTGACTGAATGACAACACTACGGTATTTAATCTAAATGTTATCTAAGAATATTCGCAATGTGATTTCCTAGCAGGTTATATTGCATAAGACATCTTTAGTTATTTGCCTAACTGATAAGTTCTCAATTTTTAGAAAATTATGACATACGACTCTCCATATGTGGCATGTCTGACCGCGTGTGTGTGTGTGTTATTCACATAACTTTTAACCTTAGAATCTTGCATTTATTGTATCAGTTCTTTTTATCGAAAAATATCTTTCTATAATGAAAAAACGATTAAGAACAATTTTATACTGTGTTGAAATATTGTGTTTTCCTTAGACGTCATTCTCTCTCTCTTCTTTTCTCTTCTGTAAGTGTATATTATATGTCTACATACTTTTTATTTATATTTTTTCTTTGCTATTACTATAAGATGATAAATGATGCCATTTATCGTTTGAGTGATGACAGGTACTATTTTCCATAGTCTCGGCATGATGTCGATACTATTCAATATATTCAAGGGAAATAAACTCTTTTTCTTTTCTTTCTCTACGATTGACATTTGATTGATAGTTAAGCAATTAAATGAGAGAAAAGAGAAAGAGAGACTCGATACACATGCTGATATTTCTTTAAAATAATATTTATTCAGTTAATGATCATAATTGTATTCCTCTACAGACATGTTATACTTTACTGAATGTTAATTTTAGAGAAAGAAAAATAGATGAAAAATATATAAATTTAGTATTTTTGTTTTAAAGAATTTTGAAAAATAGTTGATTCAAAAAGAGAAAATTGTATGAGATTAAGATATTTTTCATAGTTAGTTACTGTTCCTTGAGCAATGAAAAGATTCGAAATAATTTAAGTTACCATAAAAACATTATCTTCATTGAACAAAATTTGTTTTATGATTTATTTGATCATCGTAGAGACATCATCCTATGTAATAGAACAATATGACTAGTCACATATCAATCGTTATTGTTCCCTACTGTATATTATTTTAAATAAAAAATTTCAAATGTGACATACTGATGTTTCTTTAGAGACTATTATAAAGTTATCAATATTAGTCTATTTTTTCGTTTTGTGGTTTGCTTAAAGACAATTTAATAAATAATAACAGATAAATGGTATTAAAAGTAAATTTTTTTAGATGATGATGTTTTATTTGCATGTTAAGATCATTAATATAGAAGAGGAAGTAAATTTTTTCGTTCATCATTAAAATTATTCGATTTATTATATTCATTCTCAAAAGAGAATCTATTGTTAGAAGAAGAACAAAAACAAAAAAAAAAATTGTTTTTGATGATAATATAGCGTGAGTATTCATTCAGACCATATACCATTATTTATTCAGAAACGAAAAACTTTGACAAGTCGTTAGAAAACAATGAGTCAATTTTTTCAATTTATCATAGAGAGAAACAATTTTGAAGAGTTTTTAAAGAATTTTATAATAAGATTTTGTAGAGAATTATTTTAAAACATGCTGAGCAAAGTTGACATGAATGAGCGTATATTTTAATTATATATTAATATTGCATCATATAAGACACTTTTAGTTGTGTCAACTGATGTAGACATCGTCATGATAGTTTTATGAGACCTATCTTTTCAATGTGTCGCACGCACCTACTTTTCTTTTATATAATATAATTTACAAATTTTAAATCATTTTTTTTTTTAAAATTTTTTTTTTTTTTTTGTAAATTTTTTTTTTTTTTTTTTTTTTTTTTTTTTTTTTTCTATGACGATAACTATGAGTTAAAGTAGTCTCATTAAAAAAGGATAATAATTGTATAACAATGCAGAAAAGAATGAATGCACCACACTTTGTCTTCTGTACTAAGAGATAGAGACTAAAGATTATTGTGTAATGTTGAGCGTGAATAGGTTTACTCTAATCAAACTATTCGAGAACAAATTCTTAAAGAATTCATAAAACTTGACACTATAAACTCTTGATCTCCTCACTTATACGATCAATCGTCTAAAAAATCTTCATGAAGTAACAAATCTATCCAACACGTACATAATGTCTGCCAAAAAGTGTTTCAATTAAACATCATTATGTTTTTCAAGAATAGATGTTTCATAACAACATAATCAACGAAAAATATGTTGAACTTTAGGATCTTTTAGTTTTTTTTTTATTCTTTGTTTTAATAAGAAAAATTTATATACAACAAAAATTTCTTCTTTTTTTACAGACAAGGTTGATGACATCGAGATTGTCGAGTGAGAAAGAATCGAAAAAGAGAATAAGAGAAAAAACGCCAAAATATTGATCTATACATGTCAATTATAGAATAGAATATAATGACCTTTACTTCTGAATTGATGTTGTTTTTTTCGTTACTTTCCGGCGAGATAGGAAACGGATAGAAGTCCAAAATAGTAGTTAATAGGGAAACATACATACATACATACATATACATACAGACGTTTTTAGCCCTGGAGATAAATGATGCTGTCGTGTTAAAATTTCAACACATATTTAAGGATATCCGGATGCATTCATCAATTAACCATATTTTTAAAAAAATAGTTCGAATTCTGCAGGCATATAGTTCAAAATAATTCTAGATCTTAATTTGAACAAGAAGCGTGTTACTCATTATTATCCATACTTTTCGTATAGAAAACTCACTCTTTACATCGAAAATCCACTTTATTGATATTCACCTTTTTCTTCCTTCTCTTCTATCAGAAGACCAAGTTTAAGTCAAAAGTCACTATTTCTTTTTTCAAAAAATGATTTAGGTCATCTATTAATCAATATTAAGTATTTTTATAAGGTTTGCACAGTATTGTCAATTGTGAATATCATTACAAACAGAAAACAAAATTCTTTTTTCAAAATAACTGACTGCTTAATACACTTCATTACTTTGACTACTTAACACTGTAGAATACTCGTCGTAAATTAAACGGTTTTACAATTGTTCAATAAGAAACTCTGATTGTTTAGTAATTTGACTAGCATTCCACTGATAAAATAAAATATTCATCAACATTCAATCGTTTCTAATAGTAAAATTATATACATTTATCAGAAATATTCGAAATTGATTTACTCTATATCTACAAAAACTCATGCATTTTAAAAATAACTTACCAGAAATACTATCGTGATTATTGTATAATATTATAATAGTGTTTTTTTCTTCATATATCACAAGTAGCTACTGTACAAACTACTAAAAATATTGTGAATTATTGTCCATATTCTACACATATATTGTTGTTGTATGGGTTTTTTTTCCTTCATCTTTTTCTTCTTTCTATTTCTTTTTTTTTTTCTTTCTTCACAAATTCTTGTTCATCATCTCAACTCTTTTACTTTTTCTTCTCTTTTCGGACATTGGCCAGAAACTAAATTTCTATAGATATATATATAGATGAAAAATGATACTTTCTAATGTTTGCTGATTTTATTGCACGTGTAATGATGATTGGTAACAATCAACACTACTTAAATGAGCATACTACTGAGAAATGAAAATTATCTCATATGGTCAACACATACCAAGTTCATATTGCTAAAACAATATTTTCATTATTATTATTTTGAAATAGATTTTATTTGTTTTATTTAAAAAAAAGAAAAAAAAAAATTAAGATTTTCGTACAGTAAAATGGTCTCTAATTTGATTAATAATGTTTATGTACGTTATCAGAAATAAAAGTAGAGACTGTGTCAACACACAGTTATCTTCTTAATTTTTAAAAAATGTTGCTCTAATCAAATTCTCTGTTTTTCCTCTCTATCGTCACTAGTTTATAGACAATAAGTTCTTGAAATTCGTGTATTTCTACAGATTCATAGAACCGTACAAAAATGTCTTTTTCTGTGTTAATCATCCGCTGTTTGAAGCATCCGATATGAAAATTTATTTTATTTTGTTTTTATTGTTCAGCTATTGTTTTCATGAACTATGGGCTCATAAGAATGTTGATGCATTCATAAGTAAAATAAAGATGAGAGAAAGTTATATTTCTTACTAAATAACGATGTGATTTGTGAGTATGAATCAAACAGGTTGTAGTGTACACAATTATTTCATGCGTAAAAAATAGAACTGATTATAGTCAAAATGTTATTTTTATTTTCTTCTCTATTTTCTAAGAATTGTTGTTGTAATTATTTTTATCGATAAAATTCAAATTTAATCATTTTTATGTGTATATTGTGTGAAGGTTGTCTATAGTTAATTCTTGAATTTGCATATACATAAAATCTTGAGACTTATTTAACGCTTGACAAAACTTTTTTACCTGTTCAAATAACAAAAATTTGTTCATAAGATATTTTATAGCGCGAAAAATGAATGTTTTTATTCAAGTGATGTTTTTCTTTATTCTATAAATTTTTATATATTAAAATTTTGCGTTTTCTTTTTTCTTTTTTTTTTTTTTTTTTTTTTGAACAACAACAGTCTGTTGTTTTATAAGGGTGCAAAATATTAAATTGAACAGACAAAAGAAGAATACATATACACACACGAGTCGTCATGCGAAATAATAAAATGAAAACATAGAAATACTTTGTTTAAATTTTTTATACTTATTCGGTGAATGCTTGAGATAATCGAAGAGAGAATATAGGTGAGATTTTGATAATGTAAAGAAAAAATTCACATGTAGTTGAAATAGCAATTAGAACTAATTGAAAACTTTTACTTTTCAATACTCAAGAGTACTATTACCGATTTAGATAATTTTTTTTCTTCTAATGAATATTATGAGTATGATAGTAAATTGAATAAATTTAATCTAATTAAAGTAATGGACAGTTATGATTAGATTTGTTAATGCGTTTGCTTTAAACATTTAAGAAGTTATCAGTTACGTATATGAGTTAATCTTTAGAGACTGACTAGAGAGTATTACTCAATTATAATGATTGACAGATTGTTGTTGAACAAATTAGTTCGATTTTTTTTTTGTATTTTTCTTGTCTCATGTGAATAACAAATAAATTAGTAACGTATATTCAAGGATTATTTTTAGTTCTATAACTAATTATACTTATGATCGATGAAACGAATGCTCAATGCAATGTTGTACCGTATAAGATTACCTTTGGCAAACATATATATATATTCTAATTTAAATTTAAACAATCATAAATTTAAGAAATAAATGTGTGTAAACAAAATATCTGTTATTTCTGTTTTAGCTTCTACTAACGAATATGATAAATGCAGTGAATAAGAAGTTTTTTTCTTGAATAGAGCAGCAAGTAAAAGTGACTATTTTATAATTTTTCGATGAAGCCGAGTGCCTAGGTCAAGTTTTAATAGTGATTTTGATATCCCTTGAAGTTTTCTATCAAATACAGTGTGCGTCAAAATTCTATAAGAATGGTTTTGAAGAATGTTTTCTAGAAAACCGCTCCAACGGAGCTCTAAGTCCTAGAGAGTTTTGGTAAAAATATTTTCAATATGTCCAACTAAAAGAGCATAAAATTCTGAAAAAAATGAAGTGTCGCACAGCTCTTCACGATTTTTCTTTGCAAAGTTACAGACATCAGAAAATCGAAAGAAATGTGCTTCTGCTTTGTTTTTACGCGATTTTTAGCGTTTTTTTCCTAAATTATACTATTTCTTTGAATTTTCGGATGTCTGTAACTTTGCAAAGAAAAATCGTGAAGAGCTGTGCGACACTTCATTTTTTTCAGAATTTTATGCTCTTTTAGTTGGATATATTGAAAATATTTTTACCAAAATTCTCTAGGACTTAGAGCTCCACTGGAGCGTTTTTCTAGAAAACATTCTTCAAAACCTTTTATCCAGAATTTCGACGGATACTACATTTGATAGAGACCTTCAAGGGCTATCCAAATCACTATTCAAACTTGATCTAGTTACTCAGCTTCATCAAAAAATTTCAAAAATACAGTGGCTCTTTAATTTTTTCCAGTACTGTAATCACCTTGTGACTATCGTCCATATTCAATAACAAAATAATTACAAAAATTTTATTTTCTTACTAATGCGAATTGATCTTGTTTTAGATTTTAAAGAATGCCTCTCGATACACATAGTGAATTATTAAAATCAATCGACATAAATGAATTCTATAAACTTTGTATAACTTCTACATCAAAGCGTCCCGATTCTCGTTCATATCTTGATTGTCGTCCTTTAAAATGCTTACCAAATATTTTACAAAATTCAAATGGTTCATCAATGATTCGTCTTGGAAATACACGTGTTATATGTTCAATTAAATGTCAATTGGCAAAACCATCTTTAAAATCGCCATCATGTGGATATATTCAACCACTCGTGCTTTTACCACGAACACAAGCATACACATCATTTGGTCGACGAACACAAATTATTAATAATAACGCGGTTCTAAGTCAAACTCTACTCGATATTATTCTCAAATCAAATATGTTACATTTAGGTATGTATAGAGATACTACACAAGATTTATCGAGCATTACATACATTTAAAATTTTTAAGATTAAAGTGGTTTACTTTCAATATGTGAAGAGTGATGATGGTTGCTACATGATATATTTTTCAATTTTAGATGATTTGTGTATTGAGCAAGGTAAATGGGTTTGGTGTGTGTCGTGTGATTTATTTTGTATAAATAATGATGGTAATTTACTTGATTGTTGTCTGTTAGCAATTGTCCATGCATTAAAACAAACCACTTTGTATACAGTTAAAATCGATTCTGATACGGGAAAACCACTTGTCTATACTAAAGAAAAATTAAAATTAAAATTATATGATGAACCATTGTGTTGTACAATGTTTGTCTATGACAATGAATTAATTGTTGATCCAACATTAAATGAAGAACAAGTAGCAACAACTCTAATTCATGTAGTATTATTGAAAAATGATCAAATATGTTTATTAAACAAAACAGGTGGAACAATATTTCCTACGGAAAAATTTCAACAATGTTATGGATTAGCCAAACAATATATTCATTCACAAAGACAGATACTTGAGAAAGCAAATGATAGTAAAACTGTGGAGTAAATATATGTGTTTTTACTTGTTAAAAATAAAATTTTTGTATTATGTACTACTTTTACTTTTTGCGTGGAATATTGATGGGTCAGAATGTTCACATAATGAAAGAGCGCAAAAAAAACAGCTATTGGGTACAGTAAAAGCTTTGATGACTAGCAGAGTAGTATTCAATTAGATTCGAAACTTCATTGAATAGGAGAAAATTTTTGCCAAAAAGTACTTAAATATACAGGGAGGGAAGAGGATGACACATGAAAAATCGATGTTTCATTTGAACAGGCATACGTCAATATGTCTGTCTTGTAATTAGTCTATCGTTTATGTGTGAAAAAACAAGTGTATTAATTATGAAATAATCGTATTGTTTCAAATGTCTTCTCTTTCTTTCTCTATCGCTCAATGTCTCTATTGTCTGTTGAATGGAACGGTCTACATACTCTTCTTATTTCGAGTGTGTATATTCTTTTTATGTGTCAATCGATTACTTTCACACTATCAATACACGTGCACAATATTGCATGTACAACAAATTATTCCCTAAACACAGGAGAGGAAAAAAAACATACCGCACACTCTAATTTTAATTAATCGGTAGACTTGAAAAAAAAAAGTGATTATGACAACATCTTTTTTGACATGTCAAACGAATTGATCTGACAACCACTCACACATACTGATCATACCAGAGAAAAGAAATTTATGCAAATTTTTAATAGGAAAAATATAGGATGATGTCTTTTACACTCACAAAGCTAATATTAAGGTATAATCAACGTCGTTATTTCATAATTTAGAGATTTAAAATCGAAAAAACTATTAAATATGATCGTAACTGAAATATTTTGAGCTGAGAAAATCACAAAGATCAAAAATCATATTTGGTGATCGCACACTCGCTTTCCCTTCCTTGGATACGCCGGTGCTTCATACAGAATATATGATTGACTATACGATTAAGATATAAAGATGAGAACGATATTAATTTGAGTATTTGTATATATGTGATGAAATTTCTATTTTTATAATGAAATGAAAATGTGTTAGAGTAACTTATCTGTATGAAATCAAAACAGACGTTTGACGTTAGGAGTTTATAAAACTTGTACAATCGTACCGAAGATGAAATATCTCAAAAAACGGTGCCCTAGAATACTCTCTAAAAAGAAAGGTTTATTACGAAACTTAAAAGGGTATAGAGAAGTGCAACCATTTCTAAACCCCTTTTAGATTTCGTAGAAGGTGCAGTACGAAACCGTTTTAAGTACATCGAAACGATTGATCAGAAGTGCATTTGCTTATTTTGTTATATTTTTTCCTCATGATTTTTTCTGGAAAAATCAAAAATTACAGAAATTTCAAGTATTTATTGGGCTCAGTTTTCGCCGCTTTATACAATGAAAACACGCCTAAGCTGTGGAAATGGCCCACTTGCTCAAAAAAAAACAACTGCTAGAATTTATGCAGTTAAACAGTTTCGTACTGCACCATGTCTTCTACGAAATCTAAAAGGATTTAGAAATGGTTGCACTTCTCTATACCCTTTTAAGTTTCATAATAAACCTTTTTTTTTAGAGAGTAGGCTGAACACTTTGATCATATTCTTTGTTTATCATCTTCAAGCTCTAACTTTTCTTGCAATCGATTTCGTCGTGCATGTACTTGATTCAAGTACATCCACTAGGATTCGTCTGTACAAAAAAACGTATTGAATATTATTTTATTTCAAAATGTGAAATTGAAAAGTTACAACAAAAATATTAAGAAGTTTCTAAATGAGCAATTTTATCATGATCATTTATAAAATTGAGCTAGTCATTTTGGTGTCCTTGAAAAGTTCTCTCTTTTCCTGATAACAAAAATTTCTGACAGTATAATTCAGTGAATTATACTTCGCACAGCAGCAGTTTTACATAAAAATCGACTGTTTTAGCGGTAAAACAAAGCTTGGAATAACTGCACCACTAAGATTAGAATCGATCGAATTATTTTAGAACTTCGTATTGTTCTTTGGATAATTTTCTAGTTTTTACGTTTTCAAATGGAAAATTGTTCAATATGTTTCTTATAGAAAATTTTAAAGCGTATCTCTTGCACATAAAAAAAATGACGTTTGAGGATAAATATAAGAAAAAAAGAGTTATGATCTAGTATAAGAAGTGTTTACTTTCGGATTTTGTTTCATTTCAATTAAAAACTGATACTAGCAGATGGTTATATTTGTCCTCTGAAACAGTAGCTGACAGAATAAATTGAGTAAGTAGAGCTATCAACGAATCATAGAGACTGCAGAGTTTTGATTAAAACAAAAGATCTTCCATTCATAACTAAGAATTTTTTCATTAATGATGATCTCTTTAATCTATAAATATTGTGTGATAGTTCTGAAAAATGATTCTATGTATGTTTTGATAACTGAAATTTCTCTTATTATTTCAAACTACTATTTCAATATTGCTGAGTTTAATGGTAAAATTGCTTTTCATTTTTAGATCATGTTCACATTTATTTTGGCTATCGTAGTTGTTTTTGGTATTATCCTAATAAGTAAATTACGTCGTCGTGCTATTTCCGATCGTTCATGTGTCTATGTTGTTGTACTTGGTGATATTGGTCATAGTCCACGAATGTGTAATCATGCAATTGAATTTGAAAAAAATCAATATTCCGTTCATTTTATTGGATACGAAGGTAAATGACTAAATATTTTCTTTGTGAAGAAAACAGAATGAGATCAAGTATAGGTGTCAACATATAATTAATATTAATTTATTATTATTTTGTTGAACATGTGTAGGGATCTAATGAAGTATGCAAACCACGCCTCTCATCTTATATTGAAAATTAACTTTCTATTTATTTTTAACAAAAAAAAAACTATCAAGCGATCATTTATTTCAAAAACGAAACATCTAACAATAACCGCTAATAAATCATCAATTTCAAGTATACTCTTAACCACATGAGTTTTTTTATTAACAAAAACAAATCAAAATTAATTTGACTTATAATTGAGTGAATAGAAGTGTTCATTATGATACGAAATATAAATAGTACCCATGTCGTTAAAATCATGAAGAAATGGCTGATTAAGCGTAATTAGCTAGTCGATTAATCGTGCGCTCAATCGCGATTTTTAAGCATAAGTTTTTACTGGTTAATCGCCTTTTTTTAAAAAATCGTCGATTAAGCGCCGTTTTTGCAGAAATCGTGCATTTTTTTAGAAAAACCGATAATGACTTGCGATTTCAACAAAAATAACGCTTAATCGAGATTTATCGACGATTTTTTCACAAAATCGCGATTAATCAACAAAAAATTCTGCTTTAAAAATCATAATTAAGCGCATGATTAATCGACTGATTAACTGCACTTAATCATCTATTTCTTCCCGATTTTGACGATATGAGTACTCCTTGACATCGAACGAAAATTTTTTTCTGCACGGTTTTTGTTTCGTACCACGTGTCTGTGACTAAGATCAGAATGTTATTACTCCTATTGTCTGAACAAGAAAAAAAAGTGAAAGAAATATGGGCTTAAAATTATGTATATGACTTTGAAATACGTATAATCCTGTTCAATTCACCAAATGAAATAACGGTATGCACAAGTAGTTTCTTTAATTATTATACAAGAGTTGATACACCTTGTGCTTCGCCACTTTTCATTCGTACGATCAATCTTTTTCATTCCATCAGCAGTCTACTAAGCGAAGTAAACAAAAATAGTTTCAATTAAATTAAAAAACTGTGCAGATTTTTCCGTTTTGTTTTCCATTGCACAAAACCTCCTTCATGTAGAAAAAATATCAAAATATTTTTTTTCTACACGAAAACATAAACATTGTGCAGAATTCTACAAAAAATAATCGTCTAGAAAAACACAATGTTTCAATTGACATCTTAGAAAAATAGAGCCGTACAGGATAGGATATAAGATTCTATTAATCTCTCTCAACATTAGATTGTTTTGTTTGTATCGAGAACGCTTTGTTGAAATTTTTTTCTTGTTTTAAGTGGTAGTATGAAAATGATTAGTGAACATGTTCCACATCCTCGTTCATGCTGCAATAGATTTATTATTTCTTTTTTCTAGAATCTCAACCAAGTTTACTTATTCAAGAAAATAGAAATATTCACCTAGCAAATCTCAAATCCTTTCCATCACTACAATTTGCTCGTGAGTACTGAGTTTTATTCGTATTCAATATTGTATTCATCTATATTTCTCTTTTCTAATTAGATTTTCCACCAACTGTCGTTTATGTATTGAAAATATTTTGGCAATTTGGTACACTCGGTTTGAAATTATGTCAATTACCAAAACCAGATATTATTTGTGTTCAGGTAAGTGAAAAATATGTGATGAAAGAATGGTGTACAAGATATCAATGATATATTTAGAATCCTCCATCGATTCCAGCATTGATCACATGTTTTTTAGTAGCTCGTTTACGCGGTGTTCGTTTTTATATTGATTGGCATAATTATGGTTATTCAATGTTGGCATTAAAACATGGAATGCAACATTGGATTGTACAGATATGTCAACGGTAAATTAAAAAAAATAATTGACAAGTAAAAAATCAAAGATTGATAGTCTCTTTTGTTTTCTTTTTATAGTTATGAATTTTTTATGGGTAGACTAGCTGATATAAACACATGTGTATCACAAGCATTTTCTTCCAATTTAAAATTACATTTAATAAAGTAAGTGAGTGTATTGAAGATAGACTATAGTAGAACAATGTTAATAGTGTAAAAAGTATTGATATTTGTTGAATTTTAGACTCTTTTGTAGAAAATTAAAAGTGATGACGTTTCATGTGTTTTAGATCATCGGTGCTCTATGATCGACCAACTAGCCAATTTCATATTCCAAGTACAGATGAAAAACATGCAATTCTAATGAAAATGTATCAACAGTATGGTTTTAAACAATTCGAAGGAAGGTTAGAATTGAATTTAAATATACGATATCCCCTTTTTAGAAAGAATTTTCATTTTTGAGTTAAACATGATGCATCATAAAATAAAGTGTCTTCTACACAATAAGATCGCGTCCAGTTCTTTACACCTTTTTGTTAAAGAGATGTGAATTTTATTTATGAAGTTTATTACTTTTAGGCTAAAATATCCTATGTTTCTCTTTCATTGAGTACTTGAAACTTCTTTCAAGTCCCACAGAAAACTAAAGTTTTTGATTTTTAAAACTCTATGAATAGTAATCCTATATATCGTAAAATTTCAATTTATACTGCATCATGTTTAATTCAAAACTAAAAATCTTTTCTAAAAATAGAGGACTATCTTTGATACTATCTTTACACGTCTTTAAACCTGACTTCTATGTATTTTAGAATGAACGATTGTACACGTTTTACGACAAGTGATAAAAGTTTTATCAAAGATCGTCCAGCTATTTTAGTTAGTAGTACAAGTTGGAGTCCAGATGAGAATTTTCAAGTATTATTCGATGCATTAAAACGTATGTATAGTGTGTTTTTATTTATTGTTTCATATTTGTTTTTCGTCTATTTAGAATATGATACATCCGATATTAATAATTTACCATCGATTGTGTGTATTATTACTGGTATGTTTGAAAAACATGTCAAAAAAAAATAATAAATAGAGCCTTCTCTTTCTTTCTGTTTTTTTTTCCAATAAAAAACTATTTCTCAATAAATGAGTTTGTTTGTTATTTTAAATAGGAAAAGGTCCGCTAAAAGATGAATTTGTTGAAAAACTTCAACAACAATCTCATCGCCGTGTTGAATATTGTTTTCCCTGGTTGGATGCTGCAGATTATCCTCTTCTGTTAGGTAACAGATGATCTTTTCTTCTATTTGTTTTTATCACCTATACCAGTTTACTTTTCATTTTGTCAAGGTTGTGCTGATCTTGGTATTAGTCTTCATCAATCGTCTAGTGGTTTCGATTTACCAATGAAAATTGTTGACATGTTAGCTGTTGGAGTACCCGTATGTTCAATTCATTATGATTGGTAGGTAAATAGATCTTTCTCAGTTTCAATATAATATATTCAGTTTTATCATCTTAGTATCAACGAATTAGTTAAACGTGATCAAAACGGCCTCATTTTTCGCGATTCAAATGATTTATGCGAACGAATACAGGTATTGTCAAACGGATAAAGAATAATTACGTTTGAAGTTAAACATGCCTTATCTTTTTCAGGACTTATTATCTGGTTTTCCTGATAATTGTTCAAAATTAAATTCGTTAAAAGCAAATGTTATCTCCGGTGGAAAAGTTTCAAATTGGACAAAAGAATGGTCAACTGTTGTTAAACCATTATTATCGGTGACAACATCGCAGCAAAACGAAAATAATTTGAGTTCACAATGAAGGGAGGGGGAATGATCTTCGTTTATGTATTCAAAGTAGTTATTGTTGAATTTTTTTTTTTTTGAATGGTTATTGTTAAAGTTGACTTCTTGTTATTTTATGTTTTTAATTCTGCCTGTTACCACTACAAAATTTGTTATGAATGGATGTTGTTTTTAAGTAATAAAATGAAAAAAATTGATCCATCTATAATCGAACAAAAATGTTCGATTATTTATTCTCGTTTAAACGAAAAATATAATGCCAATTACAATGAAAAGCAAATGATTTTTGAAAAAGTATTTTTTTAAAATCAAAGTTGATTGAGATCTGATTATTTGACTTTGAAACTTTTCGGTGTTATAAATCGTTCAATGTACCCACTGGAAAATTTTGAAATACAGAAGCGTTTAAAACGCGCGCGAGCGTACATTTTTTTAAGAAAAAGCAAAGATCGGACGCGCTTTAAACACGTTCTAGTCGATAGTTTTGTGCGCTGATTCTGAATATGCCATTTGTTGTTGTTTTCTATGGAATATACTTTGTTAGCTAAGAAAAACAGATTTGTGTGTGTTAGAAAAGTCAACGTAAAATCTAGGAACAAATATGCATCGATATGTTAATATTGTAGATATCGTCGATAGTAACCGTTTAAGAGAAATTTCCTCCGTTAGAAATCTATTTCGATAAGTATGAGTCGGAGCTGAAACAAACATTCAAGGAATGTCGGCCATGTCGGAGTATAGTGACGAAATTGTTTTTGGTGCGTCTCTGTTCCCGAGATGTCGTCACAACAGTGTTCAAAATGGGTCAGTTAAAGTTTCGCAAAATTCTCACTGGCTTTAGGTGCTACAGAGTTCGGAGTAGTATCATTTTGTAGAAAAATACTATCGCTCTGACGGTACAGACCTGATTTTTGAAATCTTGTGTTACTGCTCAGCACGAAACGTTTTTCGTCAGGACTTTTAAAAAGTTCTTTCGAGTTTTCAGAGATTCAAGTTTATTCACCTTTCGAAACTAAACTGGATAATGTGGGCCTGTACTCTTAAAGTGACAACATTTCTCTACAAAATCAATCCATCATGAGCTCTCTAGCATTAAAACTGAATGAGAATTTTGGGAAACTTCTAGAGCGTCGAAGAGGAAAATCAATTTAAAATATGGTGGCGCTAATAGTATGGCACAGATTTTAGAGCTCATGGTACACTTGTCTTAAGTTTTGATGAAAGTGTCACTTAAAGTTGCAAAGCATCCGGTTTTAATGAAAAATTATAATTCAAAAATAAACATATTAAGAGTATGCTGTGAAATATCAGATTCTTGATCAGCATAAAACTTATTGAGTCGAGAAACTATACCTTAACGTTTGTCTTCTCTCAAATTACTTGCTTTTGGATCTCTTAGGCGATTTTTCGACAACAATAGTAACTAATGAATAAAAGTTTTCATCTTGATAAAATATCGTTTCTCGATGCTCTGAACTAAGATAGTGGCAATGAACATGGTCAACGAAGTTTTTTAGAAAAGATATTTTGTTAAAAACTCAACTATAATTTGACAACGAAATTCTGACCCTTACAGAGTATGACGCCAAATTTTGTCATTAGCATGTATGTTGTCTAAAAGCAATGTTAAGTATGCTCATAATCTTTTTATGGAGTGCATTGGTTCATTAAAAGAACTGCGCTCGTAAGCTCAGATCTATTGATTTCTTATTACAGATGAATTGTACTTTTTTTTTACTTCAGAACGAGACATTGTAATAAACTACTTGAATGTAGAATGTAATGTGCACTTTAATGATTTTTTTTAATACAAGGATCAAATATACAAACTTACAGCATGTTGTATTGTTTATTATTGAAATTATTGAAAAATTCAAAAGATTTATGTCAAAATAATGAAGTTTTTCTATATACCAACAAAATAATTAAAAACTAAATTAATTACTATCAGTTACACCTGATAACAGCAGATAATGTCGAAAACTCATCAATCTCCTTTCGGATATTGAATATTTGGTATGTAATATAGTGATATTCGATGGTTTTGATTTTCATGTTCTGACTGTTAGTCCAAAATTTGACTTTGATTAAGTCTTTCTCCATTTATTGTGATAATTTTATTTATCTATTATTTAATTTGTAGAAAAGTAACCAAAACATACAAACAATTAAAAAACGTACAAAAGGTTAAGTTTATTCAAGGCGTGCATCTTTCGTCTTAAATACGATTGCACAGGCTGCAACCATATTTAATGGCAATTTCATATGAACTATTGAAATTTGACTGTTCATAACGTTAAAATATTCTACTGTTGAAACTAGATCGTTTAATTCTGTTGATAAACCACCAAAAATAAGAAGACTTCTATCTAAACGACGAAAATGTAATTATAATACAACACAAATAACGATCTGATTAATCTACCTAATTGCACCACTATTGGATCATATCGTGGATAATTCATCTGTACCCATGTCTCCCATTCATTTTTATTCGTATTCCATCGAAATATTTCGTTCGTTGTTGTTAATTTTGACGACGAAGTTGATGATGGCATTAAGCCTCCGATTAGATATAAGTCACCACAAATAAATATCATTTTAGAATGAGAAATATAATTTTTTTGTTCAGGATAGATGATCCATCTACAAAATAGAAAAACTAAATTGATTAAACATTTGCAATCATAAAATTTCATCTACCTACTTCATATGATTAGTATCCAGTGCAAACATTTTATTATTAAATTTTGTTTTTGATCTTAAACCCCCATAAACAACAATTCGTTCATTATTAATTACAGCACAAGCCATTGCCATTAGAGGATAGGGTAAATGAATTATACAATTTGTCCAGCATTCTTTTCTCAAATCATAACATTCAATCGAATTTGTCAGTCTAGAAACGAGGTTGAAAACAAAACAGATATTGATAATGTGCGCAGAATTAGAAATAAAATCTTTTATACTAAACTGCATTTGTTCTCCACATTGACCACCAATTACATACAAACATTGATTTACAAAACCAATACCAAAATAAATTCGCTGTTTTAACATTGATGAGATGTGTTCGATATGATATTGATCATTCGAATATTTATAACATTGATTAGTTGGAACCATTTTTATTATCGGATTATATTCAACATTGATGCCTCCTAAAACAGATCAGTGTAAAGTTTACATAATAAAATATTATTAATTTAATCTACCAACGATAATTGCCATATTATTGCTTATTCGTGTGATCTGATGTCCTGCTTTTAACAGTTGTGCTTGTATTATGATCTTCCAGTCCATCTTATCTTTATCATATGAGTAGAGAAACGACTGATGATCTACGAAAAAAAGATAGAATGTAAAAGAAATTTACATTTTTTTTTTGTCTCATGTTTACATATACATTAGAGCTAACCTAATTCTTATCTGCTGTAAGATTTTTACATTTTTTTAATAGAATATGTTTCACCTGATTTATTAAAATCAGTTTTATTTCGTGGTAAACCACCAACGATCACCATGTCATAATCTTTCAACTGTTCGGAATAATAACAATTTATTTTTGTTGGTAATATAGAATGTGGCATAATTATGTTGCTCTTATAGTTATTATTATTTTGATTTATTTGCTCATACTGCCAAAAAAACATCAAAAAGTTTTTGAACACTAGAAAGAGTTGAATACTTGTTTCTTACGTGTCGTTCATTTTCATTAGCGAAAATTTTTTGTGCCGAATTAATTGCAATAACATTATTCTGAGATCTTTTTGATCTGTCTTTAGTTACTATTGGACATTCTTCATCAGTTTTAGTCATTGTCCTATGTTTGACAATATTTTCGTTATAAGACTGATTCTTTCTCGTATCTAATGGTAAAAGGATAGGGTTCTAAAATGTCTTTTCGCCGTTCATTTATTTACCTTTCGAATTATTCATAGTCATATTATCAGGTGGATTGACAATCATATTGTAATTTGATGGATAAGGTTGCCAAGAATTGAATGGTGTTAGTTGAATTGGAAGAGACGAATAAGTTGTTGTCGCTGGTATTGAAGACTCAGAAGTATTATTATTCATACAAGGTGAATTTTGACAATATTGTGAACAATCTCGTTGACACCATGGTATATTGACATTGGATGATCGTGTTTGAAGTTTTCCACTAGCACATTCTATCGAACAGTGCCGTAGATCAACTTGATTACCACAGTTTTCCGATTGATAAACATTTTGCATCATCATTCCTCCATTTATTTGTTGTTGCTGTGGTCGTTGATCTTCACAATCGTTATGGATCTGAGTTTGTTTTAAGCGTATAGCCTAAATTATCACAGGGAAATAAAAAAGAAAGATTTATAAATAAATCATAACAATCATTTACAATGTTAGTTAAACTTGATATAGCTGCAGTAACAGATGGTGTTGCGTGAACAGGTTTTATTCGACCGGTTCGAGTTGGTTCCAGTTTAATCATTTTTGATAAACAACTATTTTTACATGTCAATGAATGGTATCTAGAACGGAGTATGATACATTGTAATAAATCATACAACTAGAAAGATAACGCTCCTAATCAGATGCATCGAAATATCAGTGTGACTTCAAAGTCATTACCTATATGCATTATGAATTTTCTGAAACGTCGATGGATCTTGAATAACAAAATCGACTGTTTCAACGCGATCAGCTAATTCATCTAAAATAATGGAACATCCTGGACAGGTGTAGGTCATATGAAACAATATTGACCTGGAGATATGCGTGTAAATCTGATTGCTTTCATTAGCTCCGATACGGTACATATTCTCTCATCTTTTTTATATTCAATCCAGCGAACAGCTATATTAAATACTTCGAGTTCATCTTGTACGTCTAAATTATTATCGGATAATAAACGTAATACAGTGACGTGTGACGAATTTAGAAACTCTTGTGTTTGAGCTATACGACCAATGTGACCCATAATATACACGTACACTTTATACATGATATCTGTTCGACCACATTTTGCTTAAAGGAAAAAAATACTGGAGATTTAAGAGATGGTTATACTCAATTATTAAATAGACCAAGTACCCTGATCAGACATGTATCGAAGAACATCACCAAAACTAAAATGATTCAGATATTCTTTAGCCAAATGAATGATGTTCTCAATATCTAATTCTTTAGCAGCAGTCAAGATGCATCCAACATTTTCCGGACTCAAATCGATACGTGACGTATAAATATACACTAAACACATATGATATTATTCTGTTAAACAAAATAGCTATGTGAATATGAGTGATACCTAGTATTTGTTCAATTGCTTGTGGTGTACTACGCGATAGTTTCAGTTCGATATCAGACGAACCCAATTTTGTTTGTTCACATTTTTCTAATTGTTCAAATTCTTGACGAAATTTTGGTGAAAATAATGCCAGTGCCAATTTATGTGCCAAATATTTTTTCTCACCAACAATAATAACTAAGTCGGTCATTTTACCTTCTTTCCATAGACCCGATAAAACTTTAACTAAATAAGCTGCATGACATTCAGAAGCAGGATTGATCGATGAATCTTTGTTATTACAAAATATATTTGTTTGAGGATTCAATAGACTCCACAGTTTTGTAGAATGTTTATTGGATAAACTAAACGAAAACTATACTTTACAGTACTGATAAAAATTATAGACTGTATATTAATTTTGACTTTGACAAAAGTATTGATTCTATAAGCGGCTTCAGACCGTCGAAAAAATGAAAAATTAGCAATAATTGGCAATAAATTAATGTCGGTTATACAGTTTTGTAAAGAAAGGTCATGAAAAACTGGTAGACATCTCATTTTGCTCAGAACATCTTCGCTACACGACTAAGTTGGTCACAAAAACTTATCGATATTCTCTTTTTGAAAAGTTTGAAATACTTGTTGTTTTGTTACCGTGATATGTGACAATAATTATTATTTGTATTCGGTATTTTTTTATCTAATTCTCGAATATATTCTGGAATACTGATCACCGTTGAATTATGTCGAATTCGATTAACATCGATCGGAAGTGTAGTGATCGCAAGAGAAGAATTTTTAGTTCGTGAGCGATTTTGAAGAATTCTTTTAGAACTTTTTGGATAGATTAATTTTTGTTGAATTGTTTCTCGTCTATCATCATTATCTGAACTCGAACTACGCTTATTTGTATTAAATGTGGACTGAGACGATGTTGTTTGACCCATAAATACAGATGGTGCGCCAGCTTTATTGTTAGTAGAGCAGATTTTACTTGAATTTCCCATCTCATAAGGCATAATTATCTCGGTTACTTTTGTGATGAAAATATTTAGTTTTGAGAAAAATGCATTGTTCGCATTTGTGTTTTATATTTAAAAAAAGCACTGACGAGATATCATATAGAGCTTGCAAATTTTAAGTCATGATCGTTAGGTTTTTAGTATTGGCGCCATAACTATCTGAAATAGTAAAATAAACGCATAGAGATCTGCAGTACTACGAACGTCGAAACTAAGCGAAAAAAAAGCCAGTGATGTCAAAACCGGCGGTTAACCACGGTTGTTTTAAGAACCGACGGTTAATCTTGATTATTTCAGCTGAAATCATAGCAACACAGCAGAAAAACCGGCGGTTAACCTCATAATTAACCGGAAGAATGGTCGGTTAACCGCGGCTGACTGCTCGTTTTTCTGGTTAATTGTGAGATTAACCGTCGGTTCTTAAAATAACCGTGGTTAACCGCCGGTTTTCGTCGGGTTTCGACAACATGGGCGGGCAAGTTTGATTAGCAAGCATGCGACGAAAAGTTCCACTGAACTAATCTTTTCTTCTTCTACATAATAATTCTCCAGTCGCGAAGAGAAGTTTCTGTCTGATAGTTTTTTTGAAAAAGCGTCGTCAGCACAAGCAAAAGTTTTCATTTTTACAGCGTGGACTAAAAAGCTTGATAGAGGGCGTACATGGCACATTAAGTAGTGGTTGATTTCTCGGTTGTAAAATAGTAAATAATTTTTATTATTATTGAACCCACATCAAATCATATTTAAGAATAACTTTTATGACACAGTCTTACTATCTGTCGAACAAAAATTTTGTCATGGTAACGATGCTGGTAATGATCATTATAATGACAAACGATTGACAGTGACGAAATAAAAGACGGATAAACTGGTATTTTACATATTTATCAATGACAAGCCATTCAGAGAAATAGTCTGACATTGTGCATAGGCTGAAATTTATGAAGTCCTTAGACTATTAGGAACCATAACTGGCAACTGGCAAGCATCATGTTCTTTTTCTGATAACGTTTAGAGCTAATTGTCTGTGGTATCGTTTGAAATTATAATTCAAAAATAATAACATCTGCTCGTTTTTTGCTTCTCTTCATTCCACATGCTCTTAGTTCGATTATGACCTAGTTCTGTAGTCAATGTTTACTTCATTTCAAGTTTTGTGGAAAAAGTCTATAAATTCCATTGATAGAAACAGAAAATTTTTCAAGACAACGTATATTTATAAGTGTTTTATCACTTCAATTATATTTTTTCTTCATTCAGTAGTATAGAAGATATACTACTGAATCGTATATCGTGAAAAGATTGTGTTTTTTAGTGGTACCATGCCACCACTTTCTTCTAATTTTAATATGGCAGTTATTTAAGACCATTCCTTGTTGATACTGGCTGTCACTATAATACAGTTTTAGAAAATATTGTTTTTCCTTGTGCAGATGGTGAATATATTTTTGACTTGTCCGTTTCGTTAAACACATAAAAATGTCTTATTCAATAAGCTACTTTCTTATAACATCAAGTGTAAACCGGATAGAATAAGAAGAATGGAGAAATATAAAATTGTTAAACAATTAGGGTATAGAATAATCATCAAAGGGTGACAGATTTATGGTTTACAAAGTATTTTTTGTTATTATAGGGATGGTACATATGGTAGTGTATTATTGGCTCAAGTTAAAGATTCAACTGAAAAAGTGGCCATTAAACGGTATGCTACAGAGTAATCTTTAATTGTATATAAGGTTCAAAAATTATCATTTAGGATGAAGAAAAAATATTATTCATGGGAAGAATGCATGAATTTAAGAGAAGTCAAGGTGAGTAGGATGTTTTATCGTATTTATTGTCGTATCTCTAACTGATATGCTTTCCTAGGCATTACAAAAGATTCGTCACACAAATGTGATTAAATTGAAAGAGGTTATACGTGAAGATAATAATTTGTACATGATATTCGAATATATGAACGAAAATCTTTATGAACTAATGAAAAAAAGGTAAAACACTAGTAAAAGTGAGAAATTGAAAACATTATTTACCTTTATTTTCTTTTAGAGATCGTCTCTTTCCCGAAACAGCTGTGAGAAATATTACATTTCAAATTCTACAGGGACTAGCCTATATGCATAAACTAGGTACGGTTATTGTTCCTAAATTTATATAAGAACAATTTATATGTGAAATTCTTCAAAACTTATACTAAAACGTTCTGTTTGTTTTAGGTTTTTTTCATCGTGATTTGAAGCCAGAAAATCTGTTATGTAAAGGTGTTGAACTCATCAAAATTGCCGACTTCGGATTAGCTCGAGAATTACGATCTCGACCACCCTACACTGATTAGTAAGTATTTTTTTTTCACTTGGTTAGTTTTTAAGTGGTGCCGTTATTTGATTTTTTTTTTTTTTTTTCAGCGTTTCAACTCGATGGTAATTAAATGAGGTTTCAAATATTAAGCACGTCTATGTTATTAACTCTTTGGTTTAGGTATCGTGCTCCTGAAGTACTATTACGTTCTACATCTTATTCCTCCCACATAGACATTTTTGCTGTTGGCTGTATTGCTGCTGAATTGTATACTCTAAGACCATTGTTTCCGGGAAGTAGTGAAATTGATCAAATGTTCAAAATTTGTGCTGTTATGGGTACACCAAATAGGGTAAAAAAGAAAGCCATCTTTAAAGCATAAATTATATATTAGTTTATTTTTTTTGTCATTTAGGATGACTGGCCCGAAGGGTTCATGTTGGCAGCAAAATTGAGTTTTCGTTGGCCACAATGCGCAAAAACAGATTTAAAAAAAATTATTCACTCTTCAAATAACGATGGAATTGATATAATTAATTCTATGTTACAATGGGATCCCAAAAAAAGGCCGAATGCTATACTTGTAAGATTTATAAGGTTAAGTACATTGACAGATGTATAATTTTGTTTGTTTGTCTTCTAGTGTCTTAAACATTCTTATTACAAAGTTAGCCAAGAAACGATGGCAAGTGGAACAGGCGGTAATGATTCAACACCCACATCATCAGCACGATCAAGACAATCAAAACCAAGCATTTATCATGAAGATTGGAAATCGGTAGGAGTAAGTTAAATTAGTCTTTTCCAGAATAAATAACAAATAACTAATATAAAGCATAAAGAGGGCAACTTTTGAATACAAAATAGAAGGTGTCTATTCAATACGAAAGGAATACTTTTAATTGCACAATGATAGATGGTAAAATAAATTCTTTTCTTTTTTATTTAGGATAAAACTCCTGTAAGTCCACCAGATGATATGTCTGATTTCGATGCATTATTAAAAGAACTTGATTCAAGTACAAAATCTCAATCAAAAGAAAATATATCTCGTCAACCACCACGTCCGCCGTCACCACCTCAACATCAACAGCAAAAGTCCCAATTACCACTATCATTTCCATTTGATAATAACCCAAAATCAAAACTATCCTCATTATTTACGAACGATGAAAAACAACAACCACGTTTACCAATTCCCATCGTTCCTTTATTACCAAAATATGATTTATTTTCATCGGGAGACGGTAGAAATAATTCAGTTGTGAATCAGAATACTCAAGGTAGACGACCATCAATACTGAAACAAAAACAGACAAATAATTTCGGTAATAACATTTTCAGCTTACTTTGTAAAACATTTTTTCTAAAATTTATTACAGATCAATCGTGGGATATTGATGCCATATTGCAAGGACGAACAGTACATAAACAAGAATCCTTTCAAAAACCATATCAGCAACAGCAACTCAAACATGCTCCAGCATCAACCGTAACATCTACATTGTATGGACCAGCGGTGAATAGACGTGATAGTATAACCGATATATTTAATGATAGTAAAACATCATTAGGGAAACCAAAAGAGAAAGGATCTACAATAATCACAACAACACAACCAAAATATGTTCCAGGACAATCGGGTCGACCATCACTAGACATGAATCCAGATGATTATTTTGGAAATGATAAGTACGTATAATCGTATTCTAAACGTTCGTATCCATCAGATTTGTAAAGTGCAAGAAATAAAAAGCACATTCTGGAATGGATACAAATTTTCTGGAATGCCATTTCGAAATGGCGGAATCCCACTCTAGAATGGTGGACTGCCATTCTGAAATAAAAGAAATTTTTTCAGTTTTCGTCTAAATCTTAGTCTATATATGGCTAAACTCGGCTTCTAAAGAATGGAATGGCATTCCAGAATAGCCGTATTCCGGAATGAATGCATTTGCCTTGTAGTGCTTTTTCTCCCTTGGAAAAGTGTCATTTGACGGTATAATAAAACTAAGACAGAACGTGTGTTTAGTCCAAGCAAAAAAGGTAGACTGAAGTCCCAATTATAGATTTTCAAAGTCCATTTGAATCCACATAAGGCGTTAAAAGACCAAAGATTTAGAGAGACTTTTATAGATGTACATAGACTTACGCAAACGTTTATAGACTCCAGTGGACTTTTGTGGCCTTCTGAAGGCTTTTAAGATTCGATGGACTTAAAAAATCTATATAAGTCCATTGCATTTTGAACTAGAATAGAGTTTAAAAATCGATCTAAGCCCATGTAAGTCGACATAAGTGTATTAAAATCCATAAAAGTTCGCTTTTCTCCTCCCTGTAGACGTTACAACATGAATAGTATCATTAATCAATAACTGGATAATTGTTGTATGTTTTTCAATACTTTTTTTCTCTAGTCGAGATAAAAGTGCTACAAAACCACCAGCATCAACCACAAAATCCTCCGCTAAACAATATTATTTGGGAAGTTCGAGGTATAAACCAGGTAAGAATAGTGTAAACATTTATAAAATAGATGTATAATTTATTCATTGTTTCTTTTCTTACAGGTATAATTCCTCGTCAACAGGCACGTCGAGATAGTCTCAGTTGGATGGATACATGGAATAATAACTCCGCTTGTACGTGAACAATAAGATATTGACTATTTAATTTTTAATTTT